GACGCTTATTACGGGGAAACTAACGCCGAAAATCCAAATGTTAAAGTACATATTAACTGTACTTCTGTTTAAATTAATATCAACAATTGTGTTTTGGAGGTTGTCTTGGCCTTTCACTTGTAAAATCTCGAAATATGTTAGAAAGGTCTTGTAAAGCCTCGAAAGAGTGTTTTTGAGAACAGGGAACTAGTTTTTTCAGTTTAAGGAGCCAGAATCCCGTGAAAATCCTCTGAAACAGTGAGATCTGAAATACCACGAAACTTTTTGACGGTTAATCTTAATCTGCATTTTTGACCGTTGACGATAAAAAAAAACTTTTCTGAAGGTTAACGGTAGATATTAGGCCGTTTGACGGCTGACGGTTAACCCCATTGAGACCCTTTTTCAATAGTACCTTTAACTTCCTTCCTGTGTTTTTCCTGATATTCATCAGTATGCATTATGCTGCCTTCGAGGCCAAACATTTCAGCTAGCTCGATAATGTGATCACATTCTTCATCACTTAGAAAATCGGGCAGCTCTGAAAACATGAAGTAAAGGGTGATATTAAATTTAAACAACAAAACAACAATAGCAAAGCGATGAAGTAAGTTTTGTTTAAAGAATGACAAGCTGATTTTGTTGCACAGGTAATTAGAAGAATTCACATCCTTATTGCCGCCTCGTACTGGTCAGAATGTTGTGAAAGGTTTTGTAGACATTTGACCAAATTTTAGCTGGCCTTATCTTCATGACCTTATTGCGCCCTGATCTAAGACATCCTGGGGCTCGGGAGGAAATAGTTAGCTTCTGAGTACACATGGTGAAGAGTGATCACGACACTGGAAGCTGTTAGGCACCACACAACTGGCAAAGATAATGACGCTTTCCACTTTCCACCCATGCTCCATAAGCTGTGCAGCGAGTTTTTTTTTAGAAAGGCCGGCAATGGGGAGGCTAATAAAGTGGAATGAAGAAAAGCTTATCAGTAACAATGAATATTACGCAGAAATCAAAAAAGTCTCACCAAAAATTGCTGGTTTAGATGCCAATGTTATCATCTTGAATTTTTCTCCAGGTTCTAGCTCTAACTGTCTCACGTGACCCTTCTGACAAACAATTCAAAAGAATCATTACCTATCCATGGCATCCAGTGTAGCTTCAAATTCGCGATTTCGTTGGCCTGCCGCACAATCAGGGTCTGGAAGGATGATTGTTGGGGGGAGGGGGAGTTCTGATCCCGCATTCCCGCTCATTTTTCACGACAATCCCGCATTCCGAACTTTTGTCATCTCCGATCCCGAATGTCGTTTCCTTTATCAATGGCCGTTTTCGCACTAGAGACTAGAGACGGATAATCCATGTTCAAAATCCGTCAGAAATTGACGGAAAAACAGATGGATAAAGTCAGGTGGATTGTCCATCCAGAATTAAGACCGGTTCGTTTTCAAATTAAGACATATTATCTGTCTGACGCGAATTGTCCAACAGATAACCCGTCTCAGGCGGATAATCCGTCTCTAGTGTGAATACGGCAATCACCACTTCCAGAGTAGCGGTCAAATCTCTATATATCCCGTATCCCTACAAGAAATTTTGCGAATTTTCCATATCCTGCACTATATTTCGGTCAAATCCCGGATCCCGACAATACCCTTTCAGACCCTGCACAATGAAACATGTAATACGACAGAATCTAACAGGGTTACCACCGAGTTAAGATGTTTTGCATCGTCACTGCTGGAGACAGAGTGCATGAGAGTGAAACCTGGCAGTACAAGACCAGTAGCCTGTAGCCTGCCGTTAAGACTGTGGCTGAAAGGATGAAAATTAAGGGGCGTAAAGCAGTATATTCCTGTACCACATACCCAATTAATAAACCTTTCACTTGCATAGTCAACTATGGAGGCATTTCATTCTGGCTAAGATTAGAGTCTTGGGAATTGTTGTGAGTGAAAGCCTATGGAAAAATTATTTATTAAATAAAGTTTTTCAGTTATACTTTCACAGGCTTTGGTCTATTTTATTTTTCAGAATTACTTTTAAATTAAATGGAAGTTCGTCACTTTTAGGACGAGTGGAAAAAGACCCTGACAGCCTTCACGCAGCCATTTTGCTTTGTGTGTGCGATGCTGTGTCACCCGCGAGGAAACCCGAATCGCGGGTCGGTTGGATCTCCTTGGGGGACACACTTTCCCATGAGCTGTTGAGCTAAGTTTTACTCACAATCATCACCCATTTTATTACTCTATTTGTATTAGATTACAAACTAGAAACATGTTTCCTTTATTTTATGGAAGTGACCAAGGGTACTGAAAAGTCTTTGTTGATCATCTTTGACTATGCATGGTCCTTGATCTCCTTTTCTTGAGCAAACGCCATTTTCACAGGACATATTGACTTTAACGCTAACATAATTACCACGGACAAGTCCAAAAAACACTAATGAAATAAGTATAGAACCTAAAAGAAGTGTCATACTAAAAGAAGTATGAATTGGGATTAAGTCCAGTGAACATTGGCGATGTAATTTTCCTTTTGAGCGGTTCTATGTTGTGAACGCGTTTCTTATTAATTATTTATTTGCTGGTTCGATGCACGTGCAAATCATCAAAACGTAGATTCTCCTAATTGTTTTTCATGGTGCACCTGACGGTTCTTTCGAGAATTAAAGGAACTGTCAAGTTAACTGATTAAATCGCCTGTTCTCATCACCTGTCCACCTGATAGGGTATACTGTAGTTGTAAAGAGAAATTAAAGGCTGTGGAAAACAAAAACCCGTGCAGAAAAGGAAAGCAACATAGCTCTTTTGAAACCTTACAATTATATTTAACTGTTGTTGTCTGTAATTTTAATTGTTTCTCAAATAGAAATTATAGGATAATTGTCTCGAAAGCAATTCTCGATACATTAAAAGGTTGGTTAATAGTTTCACTGAGTTCCGACGTTGTTTGGCCCACCAGCTAGTACCAGTTTGAAGATGATAATTAAATATTACCTCGATTCAATGTCTTTAGTGATAAAATTATGCTTTTCTTTCCATAAAAAGAAAAAAAAACTTTTTGCATTTAATATATGTATAACGATTCTGTCTCGGACGCAAATACAACGAAATACGTTCTTGAGAATATAACTCTACTGAACATACTCGACAAAAATTTATCCATCTCAACAATTCAGTTTGTATTTTTATTACTATTTACTTTTTGCTTTTTTGTTCTTGGTAAGAAACTTTAAAAGATCCTTTGGTAAATTAAAATAATATTAATCGACTTTAATCGTTTCCATAAAGTATAGCAAAAGGTCTCCTTTGTTTGATCTCGTATCCCCTGTAAGTTCTCCTGTATTTAGACATTTTCCCAAAGAACACATTTTTTGAATTAAATCATGATTTAGGCCTTAAAACTGGAGCAATGGTTTAAACTTCTGAAAACACATTTTAATGTAGTTCAATTTTAAATGTATCAGCGCTTTATATCTCAGTATAACTAAAGTACGTAGGAACTCCTTGAGCTCCATACAATGGAAGCTAGATAAATATAATTTTAATATTCTCGAAGAGCCGTGCATGTTTCAGGACCCATTAAACATCTTAGCATCGTAATGATCAAACAATATGAATATGACACCGTTTGTCAAAAATTCCTGCTGAGCCTTTGCAATCAAACAAGGTATGACCGTATTAGTGTCATTGAATTTAAATTAGTTGAAAACGAGACAAACAAATATTCAAGGACGAAATCATGGAGATCATGAGAGATTGATAAACATAAAAATATACTGGGCGGGTAAAACATGTTTTCGCAAATATCTTCGTTAGAATTTATATCGCTGCAAACTAGATGTTAGAGGCAATTTCAAGGTAGGCCACTGAGCTGGGGCGCGCGGATGCAACGATTTCCGCCCCCTTTTGACCACTGGGCTTTGAAGTTCTGGATTCGTTTTTTCTAGACAAGGATTATAATTTTCATGTCACTGATCCGAAAGATTACAAAGCTCCTCAGCTTGAAATCATCATACTTTTTATTCTAAACCTTACAGGAAGATCATGAACATACGGTACACACAATATTCAGCTCTATACTCAGAATAAGGCCAGGCGTAATCACGAAACTACGATCAAAATTTAAGAATTTCGAAGTAAGTTTGCAATCCCCTGAGTCTTCACACACAAATACAGGCACGTTGTTTGTTATTTTATCATTGAAAGAATTTTTTATAAATGCTGCAAGGACGGTCCGTTTATTCGATCAGCAGATCAACTGAACTGGCCTTTAAACTCCCGTTATGAAAAAGAACGAGGCGTAACACTTTTTTAATGGTAGTAAAGGAAACACCACCTAACTTCTAATGTTTTTAAATTGTACTTCATTGTTCTTTCGCCTTGTTTGTGTTGTCACAGCTTCTCTAACCAGGATGACAACTATAAAACGGATGGATTAAATTGAGTTTTATTTAATTTCCTGAATGAATTTGCAGGAGTTCACAAGAGGGTACGGTCTCCTACTGAAACATATATTCTTAAAGTTAAATATGCTGTTAAAACGTACGGGGCTTAATATGCAATAAAAACATATCTAAACTTAGTGCAACTTCTAAAAATATACCCGTGGCACACTAGATCTACTCATAGTCATGTAAAGTAAATACGTATAGCTCTAAATATTATTAATTGCGTTAGGTCTCCTTTTTCTAAAGGTGATCCTTTCTTTTCGTCACTGATGAACATTTCCCTGCTTGGCGCCGTAGTTAAGGATGATCTTTGCAAAGCAGAAAGCATTTAATTAAGGACACATTATTCAGAGGTCGTTAGTTTCCCCTGAATTCACCTGCGACTCGCAGCATGCACGACGGCATATCCTTTAAATTTCCGCACGCCGTAAACAGAAAAGAGAATTTGCATCATTCGCAGCCAGAACGACAGAGCGGGTTCCCTATTCAAGCTTTTTGAGGAGTCAACATTTCGCACTGGCTGCGTATACAAATCGCCGGGGATAAAGAAATATTGCTACAAGCCTAAATGGCGACCCAAAACAATTCAAGTGATCTTTCGAACGACACCTCATTGCCAGTCGAAAGAATACTTGAAACCATTTTGCTCTTTGGAATCGCTGTATTTGCCATCGTGAGCAATGGTCTTCTTCTATACGTCATTTGCTCAAAGCGAAATCTCCACAACCTCCGCAATGCGTTCGTCGCTAACCTCGCCGCGGCAGATCTACTCTTAGCCGCAACAGATATAATTTATCAAGCAATCGAAAGAATTGTGATAGATTTCAGACCACCTCATGCATCTCTATGCTATATCATTTTGTTGACTGGAGTATTATTCGGCGCCGCTTCAGTCTTCAACCTCACAGCCATGAATATGGTACGTTACATCTCCATTTGTTATCCACTTCATTTCAGCCATTACCTCACGCTTCGCCGTTCCGCAGCTATTGTCGTGTTTGTCTGGATAGCGGCGTTTTGTCTCGCGTTCCCGCCTCTTATTTGGCGCCCAGACGGAGTCGTCTGTTCCACAACCAAACCCTCTGGTGAGCACTTTGTGAGCGAAGTTATTTACATGAGTTCAGAGTGGCTATTTTGGTTCTTCATTCCTGCGATCCTTATTTTCTTTTCGTATTACCGAATCTACGCTATCGCTAGAAGTCATGCGAGAAAAATTTCTGCTTTGGAAGTTGTACAGAGCACAGAAATGCCCGCAGGATCAGACAGAGCGAACTCGCTAAGGGAGAAAAAGGCTGGGCGAATGGTAACAATTCTTTTTGGATTTTGGGTTCTTTGTTGGATGCCGTTTTTTATCGTGCTGACCATAACTAAATTTAAGTCCCACGTTCCTGCTATTTTGATGCGCTTGTTCCTTTGTCTAATGTTTGCCAACTCCGCCATAAATCCTGTTGTTTTGACCTGGTATAATCGTGAACTGAAAGAAGCCATCAAAAAGGTTTTGTGCTATAAAAAGCAGCGCCGGTCGATAGCTAACTGTGAGGCAAGATCTATGGCTACGGGGAGAACAACTTCAGTTTGAACGGATTATTTGCAGATTGAATCATAAAGGAGATATTGAAAGTGCACTTCAGTCGATGCCATTTAACTGTCGATTGATCAATTGGCGTTGACTTCCTTGACCTTAGAAGAGCTACAGGCATCTGCATCTTGATCATTTCTTGGTTTTGCCTTTGCGCATGCGATTTCAATCCAATACGTTAAAGTTCCACCACCCCGCCATCCTTAACCCCATTTATATTTCATTTTTACCTCCTCGGTGTTTCGCTGTCATTTAAAAACTAATAATAAAGTCATATAAAAAACTAATTTAAAAGTTATCATCAGTTTAGTGATAATTAACCAATGAGTCAGAATGTGGGAAAGAGCCCCTTTACCTAATGAATTGGGCCAAATTTTTCTCAGTTTTCGCTGGTCCTTTTTGCGGACAGAATAACAATTTTTTTTCCATACATTCCAATTTCTTTCCACTAACTTTCAAGAAACTAAATCCTCTCCTTATTAGCTAAAGCTTCAAAAAACTTCTTTTACCTGCATGATTACATTGAGAACGCTTTTTTATATATATATTATACTCATTACAAGAACATATTAAATGACAATTTAAAGCGAGAAATTGACGGTTAGTACCTTTTAAACCCCTTACCGGGAATAACAAAAACAGCAAAACAAAAAGGAAATTAGTTTGTAGGAGACCGTTAATTATTACTGGAGTTTTTTCTTAGCAGGATGTTGACTTCTCGCCTGGCCGCAAAATGAAGCTATTCCACTTCCTCAGGAAAGCAATTATGTATTTCCCTCTGGCTCTAGCATTGACAATATCTTTCACTTTCATGTTTTTTTTATCAGATGAAAAAATTGACAATATCATAGTGCAATCGGTTTACAATCATTAAGCTGTAAATTACATCTCTTAATCGTTACAATTCATTACAATGAGTTGAAGCCTATCATAATTAAAATGCCGCGCCCTCTTGCAACGAGTTTCTTAATTGACAAAAATACCGGGAATAAAATAAGTTTCCTATTGGATAATATTTTCTTTAAGTCTTACTTACATTTCATCCACTTCGTTTGGCTTCATGTAAAGAAACTTGTATTTTTGGGAAAAGTGAATAACCTGAAAGATATGCAACAAAAGTTAACTCTAGCGGATAGCAAGTTTCTAACATTTTGAACTGTGAGTAATTATATTTGTCAAAAAGATAGCTTGCGAATCTTAAACACTAACGTTTTCTGGCGAAGGAAGAAGCTAATTTTCCTTGTTATTTTTTAAAAGGTTTATGACTCTCAGACGCCTAAATCGAAAGCCGTTCTGAGAATTTCAGCGAGATCGGCGGATAACGGATTCTTTCCAAATGTGAACACAGGAAGAATTATAGTTCACAATCTCTCAAGGGAACATCAGACCGTGATCTGCTAATAGAGGGAGTCTGTGACAGTCTTCAACACATAAAAAGAAAAAACGTAGAATTTATCTATAAACCTCGTCTTTTGTTATCTCTTTGTCTTTATTTTTGTCCCAACTTGCAAATATTCCAGCGGCTCCAATCGCGTGACCTGTACAGTTAAAAAGGTATGGTTGGTGAGAGTTACTTAACGTCTGTTAAGGTGGATTTCCACTGTCGCATAGTGTTTACATGCGTAAATGTTGCGTGCGTTTCGATAAAATAGTGGCGATGTATGCAAGGTCGCGTGTAAACATAAAACTGTTGAACCTCGCTCAACTTTTCATTTTCATTTCATTTCCGCAGTTCATATATGATTTATTTCATATATTACTTTAACACTCATTTCTTTCACGGGAACATATAAACCCACAATTGACCTGCTCCCAACGTCAGTGGCTTCATAGCTCAGTTGGTAGAGCATCGCACCGGTAATCGCGAGGTCACGGGTTCAAACCTCGTTGAAGTCCTGAATTTTTTTTCAGGCTTCTTTACGCAATTGCATAAATTGCGTTCACTGCGACAATCATTTCTTCATTTTCATAAAAGCAGATCGTGCGGTATTGATTGATCTGCTGTAGGCCACTCAGGATGAAATGACTCAAGAGGGTCTCAATGTAGTCTGCTACACAGCCAACGCTCCTCCCCCAGCGTTGCGTGACGGCACTAAAAACGGCTGTGTAGCAGACGAGTCTCTATGGGGTGGTCAGCTTTGACGGCTGACGGTAATTTTTTCCAATTTTGACGGTTGACGTTTATTAAGCGGAAACTAACGCAGACAGTCCAAATGTTAAAGTACATATTAACTGTACTTCTGTATTGATTAATATCAACAGTTGTGTTTTGGAGGTTAAGTAGGCCTTTCACTTGTAAAATTTCGATATAGTTTCAGAAGGGTCTTGTAATGCCTCTAAAGAGTGTTTTTGAGAAAAAGGGAACTGTTTTTTTCAGTTTAGGGATTCTTCAGGAGCCAGAATTCCGTGAAGATCCGCTGCCGGAAATAATGAGATTTGAAATACCATGAAGCCTTTTGACGGTTAATCTCAATCTGCATTTTTGACTGTTGACGATAAAATATAACCTTTTCTGATGGTTGACGGTTAATATTAGGGACCTCACGATCCGACAACGGCGACGCCACTGAAAAAGTCCTGGAAAATAGACTTGGCGTTCTTTGAAACTTTTTTGCCCTTAAACCAAGTCACCCAGTCACTTGAAAGTAGCGGAGTTAACTTAGAACTGAAGAGCGGGGTCCACCGCGTCCGAATTCAGAGAGAGATAGTAAAATTTATCGCCTCGCTGTTCCCGTTCTCAAGTCAACTCAAAATTTGGTCATTTCACGTTGCAGTTGTGCAGGGAAGGCAAAGAAATGTACAAAAAAGGGCGGTGCAAGTGCAGAGTTGTTGTTTTGCTCATTAAACTTACTGCTTTTTTGACGTTTCCGTTGCCGTCGCCGTCAGTAGTTTCGTAAGGTCCCTTTAGGTCATTTGACGGTTGCTGGTGAACCCCATTAAGACCCTCTTTCAATATAGTACCTTTAACTTCCTTCCTGTGTTTTTCTTGATATTCATCAGTATGCATTATGCTGCCCTCGAGGCCAAACATTTCAGCAAGCTCGATAATGTGGTCACATTCTTCATCACTTAGAAAATCGGGCAGCTCTGAAAACATAAAGTAAAGGGTAATATCTAACAGTGAAGCTGACCTTAAAAGAAAAATTAACAACAAAATGACAATGACAAGCTGATATTGTTGCACTGGTAATTACTATAGAAGAATTCACATCTTTACTGCCGCCTACTATTGGCCAGAATGTTGTGACAGGTTTTGTAGACATTTGACTAAATTCTAGCTGGCCCTATCTTCATGACCTTATTGCGCCCTGATCTAAGACATCCTGGGGCTCGGGAAGAATTAGTTAGCTTCTGAGTACACATGGTGAAGAGTGATCACGACACTGGCAGCTGTTAGACACTGCACAACTGGCAAAGATAATGACGCTTTCCACTAAATACCCATGCTCCATATCAGTGTGCAGCAAGTTTTTTGTTTCTTTCTTTTTTTAAAAAAAAGGCCGGCAATGGGAATGCTTATAAAGTGGAATGAAGAATATTAAAAGCTTATCAGTAACAATGAATATTACAAAGAAATCCAAAAAGTCTCACCAAAAATTGCTGGTTTAGATGCCAATGTTATCATCTTGAATTTTTCTCCAGGTTCTAGCTCTAACTAGGGGGGGGGGGGGGGGGGGGGGGGGGGGAGAAGGGGGGTTCTGAGCCCGCATACTCGCACATTTTTCACCGCAATCCGCATTCCGAATTTTTGTCATCTCCGATCCCGAATGTCGTCTCCTTTCTCAATGGCCGTAATTTCCCACTAGAGACGGATAATCCATGTTCAAAATCCGTCAGAAATTGACGGAAAAACAGATAGATAAAGTCAGGTGGATTGTCCATCCAGAATTAGACCGGTCCATTTTCTAATTAAGACGTACTGTCTGACGCGAATTATCCAACAGATAACCCGTCTCAGGCAGATAATCCGTCTCTAGTGTGAATACGGCAAATACCACTTCCCGAGTAGCGGTCAAATCCCGTGCGTATCCCGGCAAGAAATTTTGCGAATTTCCCATATTCTGCACTATAGTTCGGTCAAATCCCGGATCCCGACAATACCCTTCCAGACCCTGCACAATGAAACATGTAATACGGCAGAATCTAGCGACAGAGTTACCACCAAGTTAAGATGTTTTGCATCGTCACTGGGGGAGACAGAGTGCATCAGAGTGAAACCTGGCAGTACAAGACTAGTAGCCTGCAGCCTGCCGTTAAGACTGTGGTTGAAAGGGTGAAAATAAAGAGGCGTAAAGCAGTATATTCCTGTACCACGTACCCGATTAATAAACCTTTCACTTACATAGTCAACTATGGAGGCATTTCATTCTAGCTAAGATTACAGTCTTGGGGATTGTTGTGAGTAAAAGCCTATGGAAAGATTATTTTAAAAAAGTTCTTCAGTCGTACTTTCACAGGTCTACTTCATATTGTATTTTTCAGGATTACTTTTAAATTAAATGAACGTTTTGTCACTTTTAGGAGTGGAAGAAGACCATGACAGTTACGGTTAGTTTTGTTCACGCGGCCATTTCGCTTTTGCACCACGCTAAGTGTGTGCTATGCTGTGCCACCCACTAGGAAACCCGAATCGCCGGTCGGTTGGATCTCCTTGGGGGACACACTTTCCCATGAGCTGTTGAGCTAAGTTTTACTCACGATCATGTGGGTAAAATAATGAGATAAACATAATCTAATGCTTGATCTTGGTACAAAGGAAATAAAATACCTTGACTGGTTCCCATCTGAAAAGTCTTTGTTGATCATCTTTGACTACGCATGGTCCTTGATCTCCGTTTCTTGAGCAAACGCCATTTTCACAGGACATATTGACTTTAACACTAACATAATTACCACAGACTAGTCCAAAAAACACTAATGAAATTAGCATAGAACCTAAAAGAAGTGTCATACTAAAAGAAGTATAAATTGGGCTTAAATCCGGGGAACATTGGCGATAT